TCTGTAGATCCCAAACATTTCACAATGGAAGCCCAGAGTCACAAGATAGGGTGGATCAGATCGTTGCCCAAGATCACAGCGTGGCAGTGGAAGGATGAAGCCTCCCAAACATGCTTCCTAAGACCCTTTCTAATTCCTTATCCATTCAATATGCAGAAGAATAGACCAATAGCCAAAGCTGTGATGTAATGTGTAGTTAGAAAGGTAATATTTGTAACATCTGAAAAACATTTCCCCTCAAGCTGCATGGGAAGGTCGCTGTCGGATTAGCGCTTTCATGTGTCATTGCCTGTTGCTGCTGCACTGTGGGAACAGACCCGGGAGACAGTGAAACAGTAGGAGGGATTCAGCCTGGGGGAATGGGCAGGAAATGGGGCCTGGGGACACAGGACAAACTCTCTTACTACAGTTCTCCTCTGCGATTTTGGGGAAACTGCATTCATTGCCGGTGAGTCACACGCAGCTGGACGATGTGGGTTTGGCTCCATCTATGGGAAGCAGTAAAATATTACAGTAACACCAGGGACCACCTGGGGACTGTTCCAGTCCTTTCGCACCAAAAGATAATGGCCAACCTTCAACTTTTCTCATAAACCCCAGTGTATCTCTATCACTGCACTTTTGAACCAATGAGTTTGTAAACTGTGTTGTTTACTATGGTGAACCCTCTCCCACCTGTGTGGATCACAACTTGGAAGCCACAGCCTTAAGTTAATAATTTACAGATTCTTTGATAGACAACACTGTTATTTATTAAGCTTGAACTCTGATACTAGTCCATGCGCTTTTTACATGCACTTACCACTTCCCCAAACAATTTTTTAATTGGAAATTCTTGTGTTTGGTGTTTGCCAAAATGACACACTTTTTAAAAGATTTAAATTGCTTTTCCTTTCCTTTTCCTGTGTGTTCTAACTCTTTCTTTGAACAGTTGAGCACATAAAATCCTCTTTTGTTGAAAAGGACTGATAGGAAGATAGATTGCTTGCCCAGCAAAGCTTACATTAATAGAAACATGTTGTTGTTTACCAAACTGAAACTGTTGACCCACTTCAAACAGAAAATCCTTAGTAAGATAGGAAAACCGGTTGTCTCTAATGCTTTGAACACAGCCTTCGAAATATCCCTCTAAGATGTTTTTGCCCTCTCCCAACTCCTTTCTCAAGATGCACTTGTACCATGGGCATTAGAGGACAGCAACCAGCTGCTGATGTGCAGGACATTGAAAACAGGAACGAAACCTTGTAAAGAACACGATTCAATTAAAGAAGTGCAACCGGCCTCTCCGAAGGCATGGAAACATCCTCTGGTCATCTCTTATTCTTGCTTCTCAGGACTTGATTACACCAGGCTGAGAACATACCATTTCCTCCTAGTTTTACAACACAACCCCAAGCTCAACCGCTGCCTTTACAGCTCCCACAGGGGCTCCAAAGAGAGCAGGACTGGGGTACCACCACGGGTGGTTGCAGCAGCTGCCTGCTGCGAGCTGGACCACGCGCAGAAGGGCATCTTCGCACTGTGCTCCGTTAGGAGCCCAATCTTCAGGGTCTACAGCCCACTACTCCTCCTGGGTATTCAAATACACGTGCCTGAACTGTACCCGCTTCAGCACCCTCCTGTTCCTTTCCCTGCCCATTCCTGTCAAGCACACCCTCCTCCTCAACCTCTGCCCTGCAGCCTGAGAGGGAAGTGTAGGCTCTGGCTTGAGGCCCCACGTGGAAGCTGAGTTGATCAAGTGACTGACGGTGCATGGTCTGCTGGAAGAGCTGACCCAGCCTCCGTGCAGGCAATTATGGCCTGGCAAAAACCATCTACATGCAAGTGCTCACCTGAACTGCTGAAGGAGAGGTGGCTTCCCTTGCAGCCCACGTCAGTGTCTTGCAGGAGCCTGGCCACAGCAGCCAGCATACAAGCCCTGCCTGAGCCCAGGGCTGGCAATCACCCCTGTTTGGCCATGTGCCTCTGGGAGGAGTTTCCTCAGGGCGCTGGAAAGCCCCTGCACGCTCTCCCTTGTGCGCCACACACATGAGCATCTGCTGTGGCCTGTGCAAATCACTGGAAAACTCGAGATCTTGCTGAGCTGCTAAGATGTGTATAAGTAGTCAGAAGACAAGTTAGCAGAATTCATTAGTTTCAAAAAAAATAAGCTGTGCCAATCCGGTTCTTTCTCCATCAGGAGACTATTTGTCCATCAGCCTAACGCCAAGACAATAAACATTATTAGGCATGTTCTGAGCTGTTGGTTCATTAGGATTTCTTTAATAGCTTATGGTTTTAAGCAGAGTCATCTTTAGATGGCTGAAGGCCATCCAGCCTTTAAGGTTAAGCTTAGCATTGAGCCATTTTAAGAACTTTATCTTTAGAAACACTCTGAGGGACACCTTTTAGCTTTTTTCTCTTTTGGTGTTTTGGTTTTTTTTTTTTTCCCATTCTCCCAGCTTTTCTTTAAAGAGAAAGGAAATCCAAATGCAAAACTGAATGTAATGCCAACTCAGTGATGACTAGGATTATCAGGTAAGGAAAATCAAATATTTCTTTGCAAGATTCCAACCTTAGTTGCTCATGGTAGGCACACAAAAGTAACTTGATTTTGTAATTACACAGTTGAGTTCAGAATTAGTCTGCACTTAGAATTAGTCCCACTGGAACCAAATCGACTTCTGCTTTATTCCGTTATACTTCACTGGTGTTTTCTTTGTTCAGTGTAAATCTTCATCTAACATTTAATCAAATGGAAGTCATTTAATATACTTGATCTGCTGCCTTTTCCAATACTGCAGACTGTTCTTATGCATCTGTTAATAAAATGTGAATTTAGTTCACTCATTTTATGTCTTAAGGAAACTGAAAGCTACTGAAAATAACAGAGGCCTTAAAAACTAAAACAAATATATAGCTCGTGTGTAGTAAGTAGTCTTCACTTTTCATTATTCCTGCTGAAGACAGAAATCTTTTATGGGCAAGCAGATTTCTTGCTTTCTATTTTCCCTATGGTATCTTTATCAAGTTTGTAAATACCTTTGGGAACTTTAGAAAAATGTAGTAGTTGATACAGAAAACAATCAGCAATATGTAGAGTATGTCAATCAGTAGAGATGTTACCAAATCAATGAAACCTAAGTACAGAAATGAAAGGCAAGGCTTCCATCTCTTAAATGTTCATCTGTCTGAAGAAAGATACAGACTGGTGAGCAGGACTGCCTTGTGAACTGAAGATATGGGCATAGCTGTGAGCTTTGCCATCAGTTCGTGGTATGCCTTTGGACACATCATCTCTCCATGCAGATCTATTAATGAGTCTCCTAAGCAAATGATTTCAAGAACAAGCCCCGAACCATCCTTGCTAAAACCAGAAAGACATCCATGCTTTCTCATCCACTTGGAGCATTTCTCTCAGATCCCTAAAGAGCTATGCTTAGAAAACATGGGAGAAAGGGAGGTAAATATTCCTGACTTATCATTAAACCTAAAACTCCCAGAATTACCATCATCCATGGGAACGTTTCATGTTTTTGACTCTACTCTTTCACTGAACTACCTCTGGAGGGCTAACCCTGTCAAAGAGCATGGGCAAGAATTACGTTACATCAAGATTTATGTGCAAAGCCAAAGCTGAACTGGATCCCCGGGAATGAAAAGCAAAGAGCTGTAAATGTCAGGATTAGAAACTAGGGCAAGATAGCGGCTGGCTGGCAGTAACCGGCTGTTTGGTTCTTCCTTACATTCTTGTGTCATCAAGCTTCTTATCGTGAATTTCATAGGTTAATTGTACATGGCACAAACATTTTTTCCTAACTACTTCACATACATTGCTTTGCAGTTATATCATGTCCTCTGGATATGGATAAGGAAAGGCCAATCTTGCCTTCTTTACACCATTTATTATTTTATACCTCCCTCACATCCCCTTTTCTTCATTTTGAAAGGCGAACCCAATTTTTTTCAGCTTTGCTCTATGAGACAATCCTTCCCTGGGCACTGTTACAGCCTCTGTCATGATTCATGTCCCTAACGTCCTTTTAAGATACACTAAACAGGGGTGAGAACAATGTTGCAGGTAGACGCTCACCAACTAATTATAATGATATTATAATAGTCTAACTATGGTCCTCTGTCCTGCTCTTTAGGCATGGCATCATTCCTCTATTTTGTCAACAATCTCGCCCCACTTAACCAAAGTATTCATTACGGGACATTTCACCCATTTGTGATTTATTTTCCTGGCTCCGTATCAAATCAAAGAAAAACCATGCTTTTCCAAGGAAAGCGTCCCACTTGGCCAGACACGGGGAGGTTTCAGCCACAGGACTGGCAGTGATGGCAACGTGGCACCTAGACCCTCCCTACCACATCTGGGCTCCTGCCACAAGGATTTGGAGTGGGTGGCACTGGGCAGGGTGGTGAAAGGGGGAGGCCAGCCCTGCACCCCACTGCCCTGGCCTCAGGGCCGCCCTGGTAGGCCTCACCTCACCCCATGGTGCCCTCTCAGGGCCTGATGGGCCCCACTTCCCCACTGGCACTAGCCAGGCCTTTGCTGCGCTGTACCCACAGAGCCTTTGGGAAAAACGTCCCGTCCTCCCCCCCAAAACAATACAAACATAAACGTGGTAAAAGCTAAATAGTGTCCTGCTCCACCACAGACCCGCCCCCCTCCATGCACTGGGACGCAAAAGCCCCGCTGGCCCTTTAAGGGCGAGGACACGCCCCTCCCCGCCTTCCCAGGGGACGCCCCGCCTGCCCCCCCACCGATGACATCATCCCTGCCTTTCGATTGGCTGTCCGCCCTGTCAGGCACGCGGCGTCCCGCCCTCCTCCCCCTCGCCCTGCCTGGGGCCCGTTAGCTTCCCCAGGTGCTCGTGGCCCATTGGCGAACCCCGCTGGCGCTCACCCGCGCCTCTCTGCTCTGATTGGCGCGTCGCCGAGGGAGGGCGGGGGCGGGGGGCGGGCGCTTCCGCGGTTGTGAGGCGCCGGTCGGCGGTGGCCAGGCCGGGTAGCAGGCTCGGGGCGGGCGGGTTCTCGGACGGTGGCGACGGCGGCGGCTCCGCCAGGGACTGGCGGCGTCGGAGCGAGATGGAGCCGTGACCGGGTGAGTGCGGAGCTCCGGGACTCGACATTGAGCTGCCAGAGGCAAAGAAACGG